AGCTGCCTATTCGCTTAGCTGTTTTACTATAGCTGCACTTTTGCAGTAGAATGTTTATTTCGGAACTAATGAACATTTTTCATTACTAATGAACATTTTTCGTTTAACAACATCCCGGGATCAAAAAACGATTTAATCTTTTCATTTTGAAATGATCTAAAGACTGTAAGGTTTCAAAAAAAAACACAGTTTTAATTATATGAGTGATATAATAGATGAATACATATTTATCCCCCTTTTACAAACTCATTTATATATACTTTACTCTAAACTCCTCCCATATATGCACATATATACATATGTCTGCATACCAAATTTCTAGTTCACGTGGCTATGGTTCCCAATTAATGGTTGATTAAAAATTCCACACCTATGCTCCACGTTCCCTATTAAAAACTCATGTATATAAACCTTACTATAAGCACCTACCTACCTACCAATTTCATATTCTTGTGAATTATGGTTCCGAAGTTGTAGCTGATACAAAATTTCACGCCTGTGGGATGTGCCATGCCCCCTTTCAAAAAACTCGTTTGTATATACCTTACTGTAAGCATTTATCATAGATTTTCACACCAAAATTCTAGTTCATGTGACCAGTGGTTCCGAAGTCATATCCGTTAAAAATTTCACGCCCATGGGATGTGTCACGCCTTCTTGTACAAACTCATTTATATATACACTTGCTATAAGTACTTACCATAGATGCAGTATCTGAATCCCAAATTCAATCTCATGTGACTTATGGTTCCGGGTATAGCTGGTAAAAAATTTTACGCTTATGGGATGTGCCACGCCCCCTCTTACAAACTCATTTATATATAGCTACTATAAGCATCCACCATAGGTACATCTGCGTACCAAACTTCAATTTCACGTGGCATTAGGGTTGCCAGATTTTTTATGCGCGAAACCAGTACGTTAGACTTTTTCACGATAAAAAATCAATACTTTTCAGTACATTTTTATTCAAACCAAAATTATGAATCTAAGTATCAGAAAATACTGTACAACGCCAGAGTTCTTCTTTTTAACAATATTGTGGTATATAAATCAAATACAGGTCATAAAAAAACAAAAGTGTCATTCATTTTAACATGAGTGTATACATCATTATACACAGAAGCCAGTAAATTATTTTATATTTATGACATTTTTGAATAACAATAATGAGATCATTCCCATTTTCAGTGTTTAAGTAGTCAAAGAATTCGATGGATCATTCCATACAATATTTACACCTGAATATTTTTTTTAGGGGTGAAATATATTTTGTTACATCTTTATCGAAAAAAATAAGACACCTATTATTTTGTTTCGTCATGATATTCGAAAATCTCGAAAAGAAATTCCCGAAATTTTGAACTCACGGAGCAAATCAGTTACAGTATCAAAATGTGCGTAATTACCTCGGCTTTCCATCAGAATGTGAGATAAATTAAAATAAAAAAAATTTGTATTAAAAAGTCTCATTTCTTATCATTATTTTTTTTTATTAACTTCATCATATTTGATTTTTATTTTTTTCAACCTGAATAGTTGTCAACTTTTATGGAGTACGCTGTACAAATTTGAGAAAAGAAACACCAAAACTGTAGAAGTTACGATTTTTCAAACCTGCGTACATAAACTTTAGTATAAACTTCAAAATTTCGGTATTTTTTTCCATATTTTTGAATATCATGAGTCTTTTTTTTTACGTAGTCAAATAAAAATCAGTACGTCTGGCAACCGTTCATGGCATATGGTTCCGAAGTTATACGGGATGTGCCACGCCCCCTTTTACAAACTCATTTATATATGCCTTACTATAAGCGCCTACCACAGATTTGGCTGCGTACCAAATTTCAAGTTTTTGGTACTTATGGCTTTGAAATTATAGCTGATAAAAATTTCCACTTCTATGGGATGTACCCCCTTTACAAACCCACTATAAGCACCTACCATAGATGCGTCTGCATACCAAATTTCAATTTCATGTGACGTATGGTTCCGAAGTAACAACTGATACAATTTTCCACGCCTATGGGATGTGGCATGCCCCCTTTTACAAATCCATTTACTATAAGCACCTACCATATACATGACTGCATACCGAATCTCAAGTTCATGTGACTTATGGTACCGAAGTTTTGGCTGATTAAAAGTACTACGCCCCCTTGTAGAATTCCAATTTTTTCACCCTATTGTAGGTCCAGACCCGTTTACGCTGCAACCTGGCACATACATACATACATACATACTTCCACAAATATATAGTAGATTTTGTGGTAGGATGTTTAGGAAAAGTATTATTTTTATTATATTAAGGGCCGTTTTCTCATGTAAGCTTTAACTATAAAGCTCTCTTTATATTTAAAAGCTACATTAAATTTTGTGGTTGTGTCTAAAGTAAAGCATTTAATTATAGGTTTTAAATTTGTTTACAACCAAGAAACATACATACGTCAAAAACCGATA